TCCCCCGCCGGTCCCCGCCGCAGCAGGGGGGGAGCGAGGCGCGCCGGTATCGCCGGGAGGGCTGTGGGGCGCAGCGCGGTGCTTTGAGGCGTTACCTAGCTTGTCGCGGTTCGGTTCAATTGTGGGCTGGTTTAAAAGTTGTTGAGGGGCCGGTAGTGCCGCTCTGGAACGGGCCGCATCGCTGCTTACCCTGGTCTGGCGCGCTCGCCACATGGCCTTTCGGCCCGCATCGCTGTACAGGGGTCAGGCCTGCGGACAGCCGTGTGTGGGCATCTGTGCCGGGGGTAGTAACCGAATTATTCAGCCTCTGAAATATCAGTGAAGGGCCTTTCTGTTGGCGGGGTTAGTTACAGTGAAGTCATAATAATAATAAAAAAAAAAGTATCAGAAAATATTTAGCGCCCTACAAAGGTAGGCTCTTCAAAGAGGTTTAGAGTAATTCTTGCAGTAATGATGTGGTGGCGCGCATGCTGGACACACTGAAAGGTAACTTGGCTTTTATCAAAAGCTGTCATCAAGCACTCAGATCGTGTAAATCTGCCTTTCAACTATTGACTTAATTGGAGCTCCAGTAATGTAAGTGACCTGAGGAACCGATCCCTTGATTTCTCTAAGCTGGACAATGTACTTTTTTGATTATTGCTTTTGCCAGTATCTTTAACACTTAAATGTAAAACTATGAACATCTCTATTGTAACACTTATGAATTTTCTCTTAACTTCACGGAATTTTCTCTTAACTTCACACTATTAGGGGTTTTTGTTAATTTTATAACAGTAGAAAATGAAAAGTCGGTCACCAATTTGACCAGTTATAGTATCGTAAAATGCGTGCCAGTTTATATAATGTTTCGTAATAATACGCTGCCCTTTCTGTGGGTCTTCATCTGGGCATATATATATACATATATATAACCCCAAAATTAGATTAAACTTGTTTTTCTGTATATTGAATTATTTTCAGGTGGTAAGTTATTAGGGAGATTATGAATTTTGCTTTTAAAATTTGGAGCTAACTTTTACATTTTGGCCAAATCATGTTTTCTCAAACACTGAAACTTCACTGATGTTACTGCCGTAGGTTTGCGTAGCACAAGGAAACTATTGAACATTCTTTGGTCTTTTTGCAGACCTTTTAAATACAAATGTGTATGAAATTAATGGAACTGTGGGTTTCATGTCCTTTATGTGCCCACATCAACTTCACAGGCAATTTAGAAAAAGGGAAAAAGATGGTCTTTTCCTATACTAGTTGTTTATTCTTCCATCTCCTCTTCTTTCTAGGAGGTGTCCGGTGAATCAGGTGTGGAAACTCATTTGGGTGGGATGATAACGAGCTTTGTTTCCGTTTCTCCACCTCTTGGTTAGCTGTCCCTAAGATCAGTTCTCTGATTTGGCTCATAGTGCGGCCACATGAATGCTTGCGCTGCTGACAGAGCCAGGCACAAGGGGCTGACGGGACGTAAGGGTGCCTTCATTGGCAGTGGTATTGGCTTAGCAAAACTAGCGCTGGTAGGTTCAGTAGTTCCAGTGACCTGCAATGTGGAAATGCATGGAAGAGGAAAAGCTTTAGTACTAAAGTTTGCCAGGAGAGCTGTCCCAAAATATAATGGTAAAAGCAAAAACGTGATCTTCTGTGATACAGAGTTTTTTCAGAAAATGTTACAAGATGAAGCGTCTTGTCTGTTTTCACAGTATAGGTAAATCAGGTAGGCACCTCTGGACGTGTATAAAAATATTTTCGGTCCCCGTGCAGCATTTTGCTTGCGAAGGTTCTTATTTGTCATACGATACAGATAATTTAAATAGATCTCAGACAATACTTAAAGGTTGTTTGAACACATTTTGAATTGCAGTAAGTATCGCTGTTTTAAGGAGCAGAGCTAACCATGTCTCTTCACGGCAGTGCCACACATGCTGTTTTTATTTAGAAAACAGTAGAAAAGTAATAGTGGGAACAGGAATTTTTAGTATTCTCCAAGAAGTAAGTTATTGTCTGTCGGTGTTACTCGGGATGAAAATTTGTGTGCGTTTTCTTCATGATTTCTGACAAGTTTTTTTCCCTCTTATTGGCGTTTTGCAGATAAGTGTTTGAACACAGCACCTGTCTAAGTATGCAGTCTGCTAATGTGCTTCTGAAAAAAATCGTACGAAGTTCTGTCCTTCCATTTGCTGCACGACATGGGATGAAAAAGGATTTGTTTCCACTCAGTAGAACTCTGAGTTTATCGTTTTGTCTGAAGCAGGACAATTCATGCAATCCCTCAGAAAAACTAGATTTAGATGCGTGGAAGAAGGTAATGAGGTCTGGGGTGCAAGACGAAGTCAGTGAGACAGTCTCTGAGCGTAAGGAGCTTTCCACTTTGGCTGCTGCACGTGAGGTTTTGGAGATGTGGAGACTAGCTGGCAGATCGGTTCCAGAAAATATCAGTGAAGAACAGCTAAAAACCTTTATGGAATGTCCTTCAAAGTCAGCCAAAAAGAAGTATTTAAAATATTTGCATCTCAAAGAACTTCACAAGAAAAACAACAAAAGAAAGATGGATGAGAAAAGGCAAAGGAGGCTGGAAACAGAAGAGCAAGCTTCAAAAACTGATGAGACCAAAAGGAATTCGTTCATACGTTTGTGGGCCAGCTGTATGGACAGAACATACGGTTGGAGGGCTGCTCAGTCTATGATCTTTGGCCAACCTCTAGTATTTGACATGTCTTACGAAAAGGATATGTCCGTCCGAGAAGTTGCAAATACAGTGAGACAGATAGTTCTCAGTGAAGGCTGCAATCGAAGATCTGTGGATCCGTTCCACATCCACTTCTGCAACTTAAAAGGCGACAGCCTCTATCACAAGGAATTTATCAAGCATTACAGAGAGGCATGGGGCAAATTGCTTATCACTGTGACAGACCAGTGCTACACAGACGTCTTTCCAAAGGATAAACTTATCTATCTGACTGCTGATTCTCCCAAAGTAATGAAAACATTCGATCACGATAAAATCTATATTGTCGGGTCAATGGTTGACAGGAGCATAAAAACAGGAGTCTCTTTAGCACGGGCAAAGCGATTGGGGCTGGAGACTGCGGCCCTTCCGTTGGAGAAGTACTTGCTTTGGAATACCGGTGCCAAAAATCTCACGCTGGATCAAATGATGCATATTTTATTAAGCTTGAAAGATACTGGAGACTGGAAGACGGCTCTGGAATTTGTTCCGAAAAGGAAATATTGTGGCTTCATAAGCAAGCCTGTGCACGAACTGAAAAAAACCTTAAACCTGATCAACATGCTTAAACTTGGAAAGAGACAGGAAGAAGTGCGAAAGCAATTTGCCAAGAACTACTCTAAGAAGCTAACGCAAAAGTAGAGTGGTGGGGAAGAGAATGATTTATTACGAGCAGACTGCTTGAATGCTCCGGTTTCTCGGGGCTTCTGGAACTGTATTCAGCTATCTCTCTCTAAAAATGCCTTTGTTGGTCAAGTTTGAAAGGACTGATGTTAGGGATTTTTTTTTTTTTAATGACTGTAGTATTCCAGCTGTTTGAATTTCTTCACAGATTATTGAAATTGTGTAAGGGAAATGAGATAATCTGTTCTAAACATTTACTCTGTACAAAGAATATAAATCTGTTCAGTTGAATCGCGCTGGGACAAGGGTGACTAACTGAATTGAATGCAAAGGTCGTTCTTCAGAGAATGCCTCAGTGCTTTGGGTTTGCAGGTGCAGGCCGTCCACAGTCATCTTCTAACAGGTTAGCCAAGATGAAATAGAAGACGCCTTTCCCCGTTACTTCCTGGATCCTCTTTTGGTGTGTAGATGAATGGACTTTTGATAGCTGAGCTAAAAACAAATGGTTTAAACCTAGCATGAGTGTGGGGAGTTGCAGGATTTGTTCCTGGGTGTTCTGTCTCGCACGGATCAAGTCCCTGTTTGGAGGGAATAATCCAGGTTTTCTCGACCCTGCCGAAAAGAAATACCTTATGTACTTTCGTGTAAGACACTTATCCCTAAATGCCCGTGTCTTCAGTCCGTGTAACGTAGGTTTCCCCAAGTGCTGGAACGTGGTAATACAGTCCCGTTAGTAAATACTTAGAGGAGCGGAGAGCCGTGTAATGTTTCTCACAGCTGAAAATGTATCGATGGGTCTCTCTGTGAAAGTCTCTGTTCAGGCTGCGGAAGAGCTTACGGCGGGCGTGTTGTTACATACAGTTCTCCCCGCTGTCTGGAGGAGGAGGAGGGATTTCTCGGTGCCCTTACGGGTGCTTACATCTTTTTGGTTTAGTCTAGTTGACTGCCCCAACGCTTGAAGTCAATGATGGCAAGTGTTCAGGGTTTTGTCCTGAAAACTCAAAAACCAGGAGCCGGGGAATGCAATTTCGAAGAGCGGGCTCCACATACGCCTGGGCTCAGCGGTGATCCATTCCCTGTTGTGAGGAGGGGTTGGAAGGCGGAGGACGCCGCTACCCCCTTCCCCGCCCGTGAGGCGCGGGGGCCTCCGGCCGCAGGGAACCCCCCGGTGTGGAGAAAGGCCTGCTTCCGCTGGGCTGCGGCTGGGTGGGTGGCGCACACAGCTTCGCCCCGGGGTGGTGCGCCAGGCGCGGCTGAGGGCTGCCCCCCGGCTCTGCCTAACAATTTAAGACAATTCAAGTAATGTCTGATTTTCCTAATGTTCCCATTAAAAACCAGAAGCAGCAATTTTTAAGCCTATGAAAGCTTTCATTCAAAAACTCCCAAGTATCTCAATAGTTAGCTATTTATATAATATTCCAATAATATAACAATCCCAAGGCAAACGGTAGCATTATTGTAATACTTTAATGAAATCTAGAACAGTGTGCATACTTACAATGTGTTTTGGCTGTTGCACTACACACTGTTTTCATTAAACATTACATTTTCTTGAAAAACAGTCTGAATGTCCATACTAAGAAATGGTTTTCAAGAGCAACTCAGCATCAGCACAACATGCAACATCCGTGACGGAAAAAAGTAAATACTAAGAGGGTCAGTAAAGTATATGCATATGTGATACAACCATCACACAAAAAGTTGTTTGGCTACCTAAAAAATAAAAAAATTAAAAAATCACCAACTCTTAACACCGGTACTAACTAATCTGCGCAGTTACTCAATTAAAAATGTCATCCAATTCTTTAGAACACAAGCTGTTTAAATAACGCACTTACTTCAACAACTGAAAATTCCAATCAGGACACTGAGTCTTGCTCACCACATTCCAAAATTGTTTGCCCTTACCTGGTAATTCTTTGCCTTATTACCTAATAATTAATATTTGCCAATATGACTTTAAAAATCAGTGCAAGCACTCAACTGGCAGTTTCTGAAGAAACAGTTTTGCCATGCAAGATTTTTTGTTGCCCGAGTTATTGCCTAATACAGTTAGAAATGCCGAGAAGAACAATGTGTAGATTTACAGTAAATGGACTGTGCAGACACCTAAATCAAATTCAGTGCAATGGGAGAGGCCGAGGTCTGGGCCCGCTGTCCTCACGCCTGCGAGTTAGCCTCAGCCTTACAGGAGCTTTTTTAAAAATCCAACGGCTTCTCCTTGTGCACGTAAACGCGTTATTTCTCTCTCTGTAAAAAATACACGGAATAGTTCTGCCGTGTATTGAGAGAAATTTGACTGTTGCTGCTGGCAAGGACGAAGACAACGCCTTAAAGATTAGCTTTTAAGAGCTGTAGTACCTTTTAAAAATGGGTACAGTGAATATTCCTTATCTGCCGTTTTAAGCATCCTGAGTTTTTTGCTTGGCAGCGATCTGCAAGCTTTCTGTTTGGTTTTATATTATTTGTATTATCACTGGACATTCCTGTCATCTTCTGTACTACTTATTATCAGTTCTCCTAAAATTTTTAATCATATGTTTCTTTCCTTCTTTCTTCCTCTGACTTAGAACTGAGAAGACAGTGTCTTTGCAGCAAAGATAAAGCTTCCCCTTCCTGTGTTTTTTTGGTTTAAGTACATCTGTAGGCAGAGGGCATTTCTTTGATCTTTTGAAAGATTAAGTCAAGCTTGTAAACCATTTAGGATAGCTTTAACAGTGAATGTTATTTCTGATAATCGCTAAAATATGAACAGTAATACCTGATTTTAGGTAGTTTCTTGACTCTTCGTTCTCTGTTGGTTTTTTGGGGGTTTTTTTTTGGTTGGTTGGGTTTTTGGTTTGGGGTTTTTTTTGTATTGGTAATACAGTAACTGGAAACCATCAATATGTCAGTTAATCCGTGCTGTTTCCTGTACTGTTTGGTGTGCTGGAACATGATCTTAATGAGTTATGGTACATTGGTCCTAAGGAAGGATAGTTACTCCCTGATGATTTTTGAAAGCAATTTAGAGTCTTTAGCTCTTGCCAAGATCAGTGGGGTTTACCTTAAAGTTAACTTAGTTTGGGTGGGTTTGTTCCCACCACCACCAATGGTTGCACTCTCAGGGGCAAGAGATCCTGAAATGTTGTGCAATTAGCACTGTCAGTCTTGTCCCTTAAACCTCCTAGGCAGTGAAAGTTGTCCACTTACACAGCTTGTTGATACTCATAAGAAAAAGTCAACTGTGAACTAGGACAGCTTTTTGCTACTGTGATCCATGAAAAGAGCACTGGTCAGCCTAGTGTTTGAAATAGTACTGGTGCTTCCCATAGGTGAAGTATGACCTCCTTGAGATCTCTAGGAAATAATAAAGAAGCCTTAATGTCTTGAAAAATATATATGCATTGGCGTGGGAAATGTGAGAGACCTGTTTAATGGATAATATACATCTGCATTTCTAACTGTTTCCTGCAGAAATAGAACAGCACAACGGCTCCCTCCCCACCTACCCCAATTGTCCTACGCCCTTTATAACTCCTTCAGCAAGTAAGAGTTTTTGTAAGGAAGCTATTTCTTTCAGCATTCTACAGTTTGTCTTAAGTGGAGCCTAGTAGAAGTAACATTCAGAATGCAGTGGTGATTTGAGAGAGAAGCTATTTAATATTTTGGTGAGAAAGCAGATGTGGGTAGATTGTGTTAGGCTTCATCTTGTGCTTAGCAATGTTCTAGAATTTGCAGTCAAAGAAGTAACCTGTAGTGTAATTTGCTTCAAGCTAGCATTAGCTTAGGAACCTGCACTGGTCCAGTGTGCCCTGACGTTTGGGCTGCTGTGGATTTTGCATCTTATGAAAAAGACGACTTTTAGGCCCATGGTTCCAACACTTCTAAGGCCCAGGAATCTTCTACCTACCCTCAAATCACCTTACAGTCTATGGCGTACCTAGACTGGACTTGTAATTGAATGTTCTGTTTAATGTGATTTCATGGACTAGCTGTAAAGAGCTTCTCATAGCCTTGCAGACTGCTGTTTGGAAAACTGTGCTAAAACAGCAATCAGTACCCAAGGTCACTTGGGTAAATTCCTCTTTCTTCCTTTGTTTGTCACTTTTATATCTATACTTTCTGGGTCAAATTTGTAGTGGTGCAGACTAGTACCATTTTTTAATAGAGTGAAATTGATTGAAGTTATTAATTTTATTTTTTTATGTGATCTGCCATGTCTCCAAAAGTGAACAATAAATCCATTTTTGTTCCAATCACTTATTATCTTGATAGCTAGAAGAGTGGGGTAGGAAGGGTATATTCTGCTGCTAATGATTTGGGAAATAGCAGAAAAATATAGGTGGATGGTGTCCCTAGTTTTTCTTTCTCCTGATGTTGTTTGCTTCCTTTTTTTTTTTCAGAGCTACAATCTTATTGACCCCCAGTTCAGACTAGCTTCTCTGTCATTGCTCTATCTTACTTAATAGCTTTTTGCTGTTAGAGAGCAGTGCAAAGAACTTTCTCCCCTGATGGTCTGAATTTGCTGTGCATAGAGGGTCCTGTTCTCCACTTGATATAATGAGGAATTGGTGCTAGCTCCAGTTTTTCTTAGGCTGACAGTATGAGCACTTTCCTGTCCATTCCCCAACGCGTGGGGTTTGGTGGTTTTTTTTTTTTCCTTCTGCTGCTGCAGTGATTTGCTTATTGCAGCAGCAGAGAAATGTATTTTTGCCGAAGCGTTTACTATGTTCAGTACGAGTTTTCCAAGGACACTTTTGTCTCTTGGTGTAGCTGAAGAAGCTGAGTGTATAGGAATGAAAATGTGATTTGAGTGTTTGTGGATCGTTGTTCAGCTGCTATGTTTTCCATGCCTTTATACAAAACCAGAAAAGGTGAAATCTACATATATGTTTTTCTAGTGCTGATTCCTTCCTCAAGCAGAGCTTGGCAGATTTATTACAGATGAGATGCGGACAAGCAGTGACTTGAAACATGATTGAGACAGCCGGCCTCACTGTAGTCACTTCCATGATTTTAGAGTTGTGCCAGACAAGCCTAGAGACTGGCATGGACATGATTGTGTAGAAATGTAGTAGAATTAATTTTAACTTAGATTATCTACTCTAGATTTGGAATTGGGATTCCAATTGTGAAAGCTTATCTATGGGAACTTAAACCCTAAAAAGATTTAGTCATCTACATTTAATTTACTACGTGAACTTTGACTTCTGTACTAAATAAAGAGATGGTGCTTCAAGATTGTTTTCCTGGCTTATACCCAAGAAGTTCTTTACAAGTAGTGGAGTGCTTGCAGTTTCTTCTCCT